GTCCCCCCCCCCCCCCCCCAAAAAAAAATGTTGATTTGAAAATTAATCCAACGGCAAGTACCCATTTGATGAAGTTTGATAATATACCAAACAGTGGAGCTGAGCGCACGTGATTATTCTTTTTGACCTTCCACGTCAGACGAAAATATCGGACTCGCATCATTTTTCCTGATCTCTGACCGTTGATTTACTGATGATCAACTGATTTACAACCGTACACGTGTCATGGTCCGATCAACGACGGTTCTTCAGCTTCAAGGACAACTTATCTGTCAAACCTCAATCACTGTCCCCAACTACGTGAGCACAAGAGACAAAAGCGTCAGGGCGGGATAGTCGTTATGAAAATTACACATCCAATTAGGCACAAACTTATTAATTAATTATTTACTTAAATTCGCCGAACAAGTAATGCCACCACATGGTATGGTATATTCGTCTGATAGACCCTTACTGTACGATTATCAAATACATTGCATGCCAATTAATATGATTAATTGAAGTTCGGTAATCCTATGATTGTTGGAATGCGCCGATAAATTATCAAAAACAATTTTGCTAGTGTTTTTTTTTTCTTAATTTTTTTAATTCTGAAATCATGAAAGAGTGCCGTTGCTTCTAAAATTCCTAAAGTTGGCATAATCCTTATTTCTTTAAAATTAAAATGAAATAAAAAAATATGATTTTGATTTTTTTTTTTTTTTTTGCAAATTAACTCGAGGAAGTTATAATGAAAAACATCATAATATATATATGCTATATATATATATATACATGCAGTGACAGAAGAGAATGCGTCACATGCACCACTTTGAAATTAAAAAAAGTTTAATTTCATTATAAATTCTATAAATTTTGATTAATATTATTAAATGCCCTTATAATAAAATCAAATTGATTTTTACGATGCCCTAATCATAAATATTTCTAGATCCGCCATATATACATGTATTGAATAGTTCAGTTTGTTTGTTTTTTATTTTAATTTTAATTTAATCGTCCTCTTCTTATGATTATATATATATATATATATATGGGGGATTATTGTATTAGGATGGTAATTAAAGCTTTCATCCAATCCAATTACGATAAACGGCATACGAAACGTAATGGGTATGGACCAAATAAATTAGGAAAATGACCTGTTAAAATAATTAATAAAGTAGGGGTCCAATGCTCCAAGACCCATGTGACATCATGGGGACATACATAATAAACAACAGACCCCGCAATCGGCCAAAGAAAAATATATATCAAACAATGCATTACATTAATAACAACGATTTCAGAATAGCTTTCCGCCATGCATCGAAACCATCACCTAATTATTTTGTTTAATTAAAATCTGTGACCACAGTCGATGTAATTTAAGAATTTGGATCATATAATAACCGAAACAACGATGTAATTTAAGAATGTCATGGACCACAACAAGACCGACAATTACAATTGATTAAATAATAAAATTAAAAAAAAATTTATAATTTGTTGGGAGAAGGTTCATCGCCGCCGGCGATCAGCACCGACATCTCCAGGCCGAAACTCCGACGAGTTCTCTCCTCTGCCAACAGAGAACGAGAGAGTTCTGCTTCTTCTCCACGTGAAATCCTCTCACCGGCGTCCGCTGAACCAAGCACTCCGCCTGAGATTCCGTGAAGTTACTGTGAGTTACCGGCGAGAATCCCATCTGCATAAACATGGCTTGCCACGGTACCCTCCGATCGATCGAACGGCCGCGATTCACTACCAGCTTCTCGATCGACGGCTGGATCAGGAACCTCTCGATCTTCTGCATCGCGTCGAGGTTGGCGTTGACGGCGTCGATGGACTCGAGAAGGGCGACGTGGGATTGCAGAGAGTGGACGAGCTGCTGCGGGAAGGGTAGATCCGTCCTTTCGCATCCCCTGTCGGAGCAGACAAGGATGGTCGGCGACACTTGCTTCACAAAACGCAGGACGGATGGCAGGTACGACTGGATGTTGGAGAAAGAGAGGTTGACGGCAACGGCCTCTCTCTCCGGCGGATTCCACGACGAGACTGAGTTGAGGAGATCCAAGCTCAGGACTTGGATCTCGAAGGAGATGTTGATATCTGAAGCGAAATGCTTGAGATTCTCTTGGGTAAACCCTAGCTCCACCTCGTCGTGGGTCGCCGGAGAAGCGAAGACGGTGATCTTCAGAGACGGAGGTCCGTTCTCGCGGAGAACGAGCTCTTGCATGAGAGAAGCCCATTGGCCGCCATAGCCGATGTCGAAATCGATGATGTGGACGTGATCCAAGCCATGGAAGGACTCTAGGAGGGCTTGGTTGGAGGTGAAGTTAGCGAACTGGAGGACAGGGGAGATCTCAGAGAAAGATTTGTAAGCGCCGATCTTGAAGATGAGACTGTAAGAAGAGGAGGAGGAAGGAGAGGAGATGTTGTTCAGAAGCTTGTGGAGAGCCTCTTTGAAGTAGAAAGCAGCCCTTTGGAAGGGCTTACCGAAAGGGGAAGAGAGCTGTTGATTGAGCCGCGCCAATATCGCCTGAAGGAGAGCCGGATCGCCGCCGCTCTCTATCAGCTCCGCCGCCTTGAACAGCTGTTCGATGATCTCCTGCTGCGGTGCCATCGGACCAGAGTTCAGCCGCTTCGCCGGCGGAGGAGACACCGGAAAGTTATGATCTTGGAACAGCCCGTGGGGCACAGGCATGAACATGGGCGGGTTTTGCGTGAAATGGACTTGGTTTTGGTTTATTATGACCTGAGGCTTCTCGTCCAGACCTTTGAACGTTTCATGGGTCGGAAACAATGGCGGAACAGACGGCGGGAGCAGCGGGTTGGTTGTCGGAGCGATGTCGACGGAAAAACCTGATGAACAGAGAGAATCTGCGGACACTGGCGCCGCCTCTAACCCGAAACCAGGATCCAATACCCCAAATCCGACGGCACTGAACTCAGAACTCGGCCCAGATTGAAACGCAGTTGATGTCTGAAGGATCTTATTCAATCCGATAGATGGGTCTTCGGAATCTCCCATGATCAGTCTGAGGATGCTATGTTCGTGGCTAGGCGAACCAGGAAGTACGTTGTCCCACTCCTCCACGCCCATCTCTCCAGATTTTTCATCCGAGGCGGCGGGGTTAACGGAAACTGCGGGGACGCCACCGCCGCCTCCGCCGCAGTTGTTTCCACCGTGAGAGGAAGACAGCGTGGATGAGGAGGTAGTGAGAGTGCTTGGGCTTCTTACAGCGTCCAGAACAGAGGTGGGCTCGGAAATAGAGCCACCGGCATAACACAAATCGGCGGCGGCGGTTGTAATTTCCCGGCAACGGAGAAGCGAGGACAGTGGCTCAGAGCAGGAAGAAGACGACGACGAAGAGAAATCTGAAACCCCCTTCCCTTGAAACTCTTCAAAGGGTAGGGGCATTGCAGAAACCTGAAGGATTCAGATTCAGATTCAGATCCAGAATGAAGCAGAGGAGGACGAAGAACAGTAATAACACCGACGAACCCAGAAACCCAAATCTCTCCAGTTTGCCTAGACCCACACCACAACAACAACCGAACAGAAAAAGCAGACAAAACCAAACGAAACAACAAAAATCTTTTACAACTTCCTCAATATCTGTTGTAATCTTTTACAAAAGATCTGTACTTTTCCTTCTTCTTGTTTTTGTGGTTCTTCTTCTTCCTCTTCTTCTTTGTGGGGTGTTTTTTTTTTTTTGTACGAAGATGGTTTCTAAAACTCTCTGGTATATGGATGCGTGCAAGATATAAAAGTGGGAAAGTGCGTTTCCTCTCTCTCTCGTCTTTTTGTTTCCTAATCTTTATTTTAATTTAATTAATTTTTTTTTTCTGAATTTTGGATATATTTTGCCATTATATTTCTTTGTTTTTATTTACGTGGCTTTTGTCATATGACGTAACAAAACTTAGTTCCGTAGTGTGTTTTGTGTTTCATCCCGAACCCCACTCTCGGCAGGCGCGTATGGCTCAGACTCGCCTCTCGGGCGCGTGCGCGCGTGTGTGTGTATGTCCGTCGGATTATTATGGAGATTGATAATCCACGTCTTTCATATTTGATTTGATTGGATTAGGATAACATTATGGTCATCGATATTTGTTCTTAGTTAGCATCTCACGTGCCACGTAGACGTGAATTATCATACCAAAAAAACACTAATCTCCAAGGATTAACTCATAAACAGACGAAAGTGACTTTGATTAGACCCCGTTTACGTGTGCCTGTTCTAAAACTGTTACAAAAAGCAATATATGCTTCTAGTTCTATCAATCAAACTAATGCTTTACATAAAAATACACTCCTATGCTGATATTTGTAAAATATTTTGATCCTTTTTAGTTTGATTTACTATTTATATAAAACATATTTATCAGTATTGAAACCGATAATTAGTACCCGTTTATCAGATATATAAATAATATATATATATATATATATATATATCATCTGAAAATTTTCCGTCTGAAATAGCATATTTCATTTTGAATCTTAGAGTAAATAATTAATAAGCAATAATCTTAATCTCCGGTCTGTAATAATAACCATCTGCAAAATAATGTCATAATAATAATAATAATAATAATAATAATAATAATAATAATAAAAAAGGAAAATGACAAAAACCCACACAGATTGTATCAGATGTGTAAAATTAGTACATCAATTTTTAATTTGACAAAATCCCCCGCTCGATTTCAAATTTTTCCGTTTTCCATCACCAATTGTTTCTTAGATTTCCAATTAACAATAGAGAGGGAATTAACCGTGCTATCAGCATCCGATAACTGATATGGCGTGACACATCCGAAAAAATATCCATCAGATGACACGTAACCTGTCATGTCAGCAATTCGGGTTACTTAAATCGGTTCATTTGATTGCACCGGTTAAATGAAAACCGAAATTTTTTAAAAAAAATTGGGATCTCACTTTCAGAACTTCATCTTCTCTCCTCTCCTCCTCTGTGAGACGATCTCCGGTAAGACGAACGAGCTTCGGTGAGACGAACGAGCTCCGACGTGGCTCCGACTCGTGTCGGTGTTGCTCCGACGTGGGTGGTAGTCGTCTGGTGGTTCGCTCCTGCTTTGGTGGTTCGCTTATGCTAAAGTTTTGCTCTTTCGGTGGTTCGCTCGTGCTCCTGCTCCAGTTTCGCTACTTCGGTGGTTCGGTCCTGCTCCAATTTCGCTCCTGCTCTCGGTGGTTCACGGTGTTCGTGGTTCTCCTCCTCCTGCTTCAATTTGTTTTGAAAAAATTGAAAAGCTGATGTATTTTTTTTGGATTTTGTTTTTATAGTTTCTTTTTATGTAATTTGTTTTCTGTTCTCGGATTCTTTTTTCTATTAACATACACCCACTTTCCCAGACCCATGTATGGATTTTCAATGGCACGATTCAAACACATTCGATCCGTTCTATTAATTAATTAATTTTCTGGGTTTTCTTCTTCTTTTTTGTCAATTTGTTTGAATTTAAAAAATCCTTAATTACGCATTCTTCGTCGTCACCTCCCCCTTTGCATTAATCATGTGTCCATCTGTTGATTTTTTTCTTTGGCGACCATTCTTCTCCCTCTCTCCAGGTGTGTTTCCTTGCTTGACTTTGAAGTTTTTAGCTCTCTTTTTCTATTATGAATTTGATTGCCTGAAAATCTATTCAATTGCCGCTTTACGCTTTGAAACTCGGAAATGGAGCAGGCCACACACGACGCATGCGAACCAGAGGAAGAGTTTCGGATCACCAGAGGAGAAAAGGAGATGAGAGGAGAGAGGAATGCCAAACCCTAAATCCTAATTTTTTTAAAAAATTTCAGTTTTCACTTAACCAATGCAATCAAATGAACCAGTTTAAGTAATCCGAATTGTTGACATAGCAGGTTACGTGTCATGACGTGGTATTTTTTGGATGTGTCATGCCATATCAGCTATCGGATGCTGATGTGGCACGGTTAATTCCTTCTCTGGTGTTAATTGGAAATCTAAGAAACAATCGGTGATGGAAAACGGAAAAATTTGAAATTAAGTGGGGGATTTTGTCAAATTAAAAATTGATGTACTAATTTTACACATTTGTGGGTTTTTGCCATTTTTCATAATAATAATAATGATAATAATAATAATAAGCGCATTCGCATTCTTAATCGGGACGACACGCTGTCTTCTTCAGTGGATCCAAAACGGCAAGGTTGTTTTTTCCATGTCTCTCGATTTTTATTTTCCAAATTTTATATAAAACTTGATATATATATATATATTTCAATAATTCATTTCTCCAAAACTTGCAGTAAGCAGTTTATACCGTCTTGCATTTATTTTCTTTTTTTTTTTAATATTAAGATTTCTACTTACTCAGATTATTAATTAATTACAAGATATTTATTTAATTAATAAGGAGCATCTCAAAGGTGCTTTGGTTTTTCCACTTTTTGTCATCTTTGTCCCCAATTGGGGTGTTTTAGGTTGGACAAGCTTTTGGATGAATTTATCAGAGCCTACCCAATCAAATTATCACATGCCCATTCCACCAATTCTATCTTTACACATGCGACTTCCTTCTATTATATATATACATACATATATACATATATATATATACATATATATATACATATATATATATACATATATATATATATATATATATTCTACACATCAAATTAATATTGGATATTGCATGCAGTCGTTTTATACATCTTCTTGTATTTTTATTTTATGAAAAAAGAACAAAGTTATTCTAAATCTAAGATAATTCCTTTACAGAGCAAACAATGGATGAATGTGGAAGTTACCATAATAATGAAATCCCACCATGAAAGATGCAAAATAAAAATATAAAACACAACAAAGAGAGAGAGAGAGTGGTTGTCCTTCGAAAACATTGTCCGAACCAAATTAGAAATTCTACTTTTCATGACAGGGACAAACCTAGTTTTACATTTTATATATATATATATATATATATGTAATATTTTAATAATTAATTAATAAATTCGGTCTAAGTATTATTTTCCGTGTGCTAGCTATACTCTATGAGAAACGAATGAAGCATTACTCCCGCCATCTTCGATATGTTGGTATTATAAGGACTGATTGGTTATACCGTTGCGGTTGCGATTGCGATTGCGATTACGATTACAAATTGTGGCATTTTCATGACGTTTGTTAGCGATTGTGGACGGTTGATAAATTGGCAATGGTGGTGCTTGCGGTTGAGTGTGATTAGAAGTGAATGGTTGAGGAACCAAAATGTAGTTTATAAATTACGATTAGAAATCCTAAGTTTTTTTCAATCGTTTATAACCGTTAAAAATCGCAAACGTTATTTTTGCCAATGGTAGAGAGGCAACCAGTCGTCTTCTAAAACTACATATTAACAATAAAATATTCTCTTAATATATACAATGCATTTCATAAAAAAAATGTCCAACAAAAGGTTTTGATCATATAAAAAAATAACTTAATTGGCTTCAAATGATCATATAATACTAGATTAGGAGATGTCGAAAGTAGTCCCACGCCATGTGAATCACTAACAACTTCGCCACCCACTTTTATCTCTTCTATGAAGTGTAAAGTCTCCCCAAAATCTCAATTTAGTATCATCCTTCTTTTTTAAAACTTTTTTTTTTATTAAATTCAATGCAATCATTTCATAATTATAGACGTTCTTAAAATAATTGTTTTTTATGTATGTCCATCCAAACCTTATTAAATATTTTAATACATTATGTGTATATAGTATAGTAATGATTAATTTTTTTTTTGCTAAACTAGTAATGATTAATTGGTCTGTACGTCTTCTATTGGAACGTGAAACTACGTTGTCTATACATGTAAGTGCACATATATATATATATATATATATATATGTATGTGTGTGTGTATGCGCGCGCTAATGCTTTTGCTTTGTAGGCGTGAAGTAAGTGGTGAAAACATGTTCTTTTCTCTCGTCTGAAGGCACCCACCCTATACTCCACAAGCAACCATATCCAAGCCAAAGAAATTGGAGAGGTAGTGATGGAGAAGTAAGATCCATATCGATATATATATATATATATGCTATTTATATATTTATTTTTTAAAAAAAGTTTACTTCAACGTGTTAGTATATGCCGAAAATGTCGGGTTAGATTGTTTAATGGGGGAAAGGCTTCCATAGTTCAATGCCATGATTAGAGATAACATAAAAGTCAGAAATAATATGTCTTTCTCAAACAATGATGAAAACGTATATGATTGTCACGACGAAGAAGTCTGCATGCAATCTACTTTAGGTTATACTACAAAAAATAATATCAATTAATTAATATATCGGACCATACAATATAATGATAATACTTTCAATATCTCGTTATAATCTAAACTCGCCGTAAAATTTCACGTTTATACCACATTACAGTTTTTGTTTTTGTTTTTGTGTATTCAAATGAACCCACACATCTGCTTTTTGAGGAGATTGCGTCGACAATTGATAAAGGCATGATTGAACAAATAATTAAACAATCAAAATGCAGAAATTATAACGAGTTTAGATAATTCCCTATGAAAATTTAAAAAAAAAACGTCGGCAGAGGCAAAATGAGTCTCGGGGTCCATTCGTTTTGCGATGACTCGATCTGATCATAAGATTCATAGCCCCCCACCCCCCAAAAAAATTAAAGAGATTTGAATCGTTTTCATCGTAACGTATAAAAATGGGCTTTGATTACAATATTTTGGATGAGCTTGTACTAACGGGACATAGTTAGAATTTCGGCCCATGTGGATAAGCTTTGTATAGAGAATGTCGGTCCATATTATTAATGGGTGCTATGGAGAAATATTATTACAAATTCAACATGATCTAAAAGTCTATTCCGTCCATCAAACCTCGAGTCAGCAGCCCAACTGGATGCACATCACTCCAATTACTCCCTAACCGATTCATGTGTTTGGACAATAAATCTATGAAAGTTCCTTTCTTTTCATAAGACTGTTAGAACTCCCGGGGAAAAACCCAGAAATAAAAAAAAAAAGAAGGAAAAAAGACAGATGAATCTTCAGACATGTCTACAGACACAAAGTGGGCTTCAAGGAGAGAATCTTCGAACCAGGGCGAGGGTGGCGGGGGGCTGTGGCTAACCAGTTTACACACTTTGAAGAGAAGAAGAAATAAAGGGAAGAGAGTTCAAGTCCAATCCCCCCAAAACAAAAACTTGGCAAAGATTTTAACACTGGAATGACTTATTACGGAAAATGAGACAGAATGCCCGTGTTATGTCCGCTTCAACAAGTAGCCAATCACAAGGCCGAGCAGACCGACCAGCACCGTCAACAACAGTGGATGACCACTGGGTCGGTTCTTGGTTGATTCCTTTCTCATCATTTCCTGCAGGACCAACGAGGGTTGTCATCGTGATTGAACATAACACCAACTATTACTGCAAATAATCGAGTGTTTTTTTTTACTCGTACCAGTTCCTGTTGGAGCTTCTGACTTCGTTGGATAGCAGATGTCTTCTCCTCGGTCAGCTTTGAAATCACTGACCATGCCTGAACAATGACAAAGATTCAGGACCGAAGAGATGGCAATATATCATAAAAACTGCAAATGGAACCGTTCATTATGTCTGAAGATCATGAGCACAAACACATCTTTGATTTTTATTTCAAGACTATCACAGTATCAATCTCGTCAAACTAATTTTTCCAAAGAGTTGAAGGGATACCGATATACCTCAGAAGACTTCTCGGTCGTTTCTTCTAACGTTCTTGATACCTGAACCAGAGAACATTGGTTGCATATACTTGTATAAAAATGCCTCTTATTCCTCTATTAGATCTTTGGATCTTATATTGATTTCTAATACATATATGACCCAATAGAGCAACTTACATCATCGTAGAGTGAGCCATTCTGAGAACCGGTTTCATTAGCGGAAGCCCTAGGGGAGTTCCCTTCGTCAGATCCTTCAGGGACAGGCGAAGGTGGATTAGCTGGGATGTAAACAACCCGCAATTTGAACTCTTCGATAATTTTACCCGGCTCCTTGTTGAACTGCAGAACCAATTACCGGAACTCCGTAAACGCGACCAAAAAACAAACAAGAAACAACATATAACAGACAGAGAGAACAAGCATCGAAGCCGTCATCCCACCGTGTTGGCCATTATGTCCTTTGAAGTTGTGCCATCTGGGACAACAACACTCTGAACAAGGAACTTGTCTTTGCATTGCATGTCCGGAGGAACCTCCTTCTGGGCTTGCATCGTAACTGAACCAACATTTCATGGCAAACAAAACATATAAAAATGGATCCGAAAATGTTGTGTATGCAACAATGCCCTTTACTTCTCTTTTTCCCTAACATAACTGTGTTCCTCTTTGAATGGATCAATTTGAAATTAAGTATCCCATACAGGATTGCGCCAAATATTGACATGGTTATATATTTGTATTCAGCTTCGCAACTGACTTTACACCTTTTGATAGATTAACATCAGTCAATAGTATGTTTTGCAAAAAACAATCCATATTACCGGTTACTTAGCCCGTTATCCGACAGAAATTTATAGATTTTCTTCATTTTTTTTTAACAGATTAGACCTATTAAGGATCAAACATCTAAAACGATAGAGCTATCAGTAGGATCCATTCTATAAAATATAAACTTCACCTGTTACATTGCAAGTAGTTCCAGGGGAGACAATGCCGGTGTTAGGACGAACACAGTATTTCTTAGGATTGGTTGTCTTAATCTGTTCCGATTACAAAAGAAGAAAGCTTCAATAACAAGAACAACATCGCAAACAGGCAAAACAATAAGCAGTTGAAGAGGGCATAAACCTTGAAGGCAACATAGTTGTTTGTCTTGTTGGTCAATTGCATCGTACACGAACTTTGCTTCCTCAATTCAACTTCATCAAACAAAAATCAAACCCGACCAAACAAAATTGAAAATCGGTCTTCAAAAAACAGAACAGAAGAAACTAAAAAGCTTCTGCAATGGGAATTTGTTGAACAGAGAAGTACATTTCAGATTCAGAATTTCCCTAACCAGTCCCTGTCTCCAGTGTCATAAGGGACCCAACGGAAGCACAAATTTTGCCCCAATTCGAAACACAAATTCTACAATGTAAAATAGAAAAGATCGTCTAATCAATTGAACGGCGTTCCAACTCCATTAAGGTCGTCAAACAGTAAAACCCCGTCTATCTTCCACAAAGCCTGCAGATTTCCCCAGGAACCGAACGGAAATTGATGGAGAGACAGGAACTTACAAGGGAACTTCAACTCTGTGGGTTGAATATTAACAAGATCGCCGGTCGTCATGATCCCGATTCCAGACAACGGAGACTAAGATACGAGAATCTCTTAATCTGTCTGATTAAAAAAAAAATGAATCCCAGAAGGAATCGATCCTTAGGGTTTACTGGCGATCGAACGAATTTTATTTCGATCTGACGAGAAATGATACCAGAAATAGTAACAGTTTTCCTCTGGGCAATAATAATGCTACGGCGCTTTGACAAATGCAACAGCACGGGTATGTTTTCCTCCGTAGTGGATGGACACCAATTGATCCGTGATTTTGTTGTGTGTGAACGGCCGTCACATTAGCTTTAGTACTTCGTCTTTAAGACATCGGCGGTCCAAGCCGAGACAATAACTTATGACCGAAATAGCCCCGAGTTTCTGCCGTTCGCTCGCAGAGATGATACAATTTGTATTGTAACCCGAAGGGCATTGATGGAATTTCATCACATTTTTTTTAAATTCGCGGCACTATCATCACGTTTTTTTTATTGTGCGGCATTATATAAAGAGTACAATTTTTTTTATATATTAAATCACTCTGACCAGCTTTGCAAACATTTGTATATATTACAAATTTTCTGTATGAGGTACTTAGGGCAATTTTTTTCATTTGATTTATGTTATATCACAGTATCCACTTTTCATTATATATATATATATATATGAATTTGTTGTTCAATTTTAATTAAAAAAACAGATAATAATCAAGAACTTAATCGGTAGAACAAAAGAATTTTATATATTAAAATAGTGGTTAAAAAACAACAACATCGATGATGATGATGATGATAATAATAATAATAATAATAATAATAATAATAATAATAATAATAATAATAATAACAATAATAACGATATCGTTTCAAATTCGCACTTCAAATTTATTAGAAAATAATATATATTCAAAATCATATGACCATCAATTCTAAAATTAATCAGAGTCTTGGTCTAGAATATTCTTTTACAAAATAATAATAATAATAATAATAATAATAATAATAATAATAATAATAATAATAAATGGGATAATAAAAAAATAATAGTAAAATTTACTGAACATAGAAATGGGCCTTTGCAGGGCCAATACACAGATGTTCCTATGAAGCCCGAGCCCATAGTGCACTAAATAGGCCAACGTAACAACAAATTCGAGGCTTAAGCACCTGAAGAAAATCTCCACACCAAATTAAATCCGAGATTAAGCAGATAACACGACGAGTCCCCTAATTGTTATATAGATTTTTAAAAAAAATCATCTAAATCACACGTTTTGATTATGATTAATATGCTACTTAATTTATATATATATATATATATATATATATATGTATATATATAGTCACAGGCACATTAGGCCTGCATTAACAGCATATCAGCCATAGAACCCTTCTCTCCTCACCACCGCATTTTCTCCTTCCTTCAAATAGAATAATTGCAACGCTAAATACATGTCAAATTTTTTTTTATAAAGAATTTAATAATTGTTGTTATATGAAACATTTTTGTTGTACCTGCTGGCGCACGTTAGCCTTCATGGGCGGATGATCAGGCATTAGACCCAAGTGTATGTGTATGTGAGGGAAATGGGCCCACTGCACGTATTTACTATTGAAAAATAAAATACGGAAATTAAAAAGAGAGAATAGAAGAGAAAAATAAAATAAAGAACACTATTATTACTACATCTCTTCTTCTTGTTATTTTACAATGAGAATAAGTCATCTATTTATAAGAAACAACTATAAAATAATTAAAGAAAGAAATTTACAAAGAAATAATATATGATGGAAACAAATAAATTAAGAGATAATTGACACAATTATCATTATTTGTTAATTGATTTTGTGTCTTTAATTTCTCTCAATCATCTTCGTAATCATTTCCAATCAATTTCAATCTTCTTAAATATAGATTTGTTTCCTCATTTCAACATTCCCTCTCAAGATTGACTTAGAGATAATGCAAAAAGTCAATCTTGGAAAGAATACCTGAAATAATTCAAAAATTCGATGAGTAATTCATTGTTAATAAAATGATCCATAGATACCAATCAGGTTCTTGAGAGTTTTGATCCATCTTCAAATCAGTTCGCTTGATCATGGAATTCTGCCTTTATCTCCTTTTGTCATAGCACTTCGCTTGATCTTGGAGCTTTTTGTGGTTTTGATTCCTTTTGTCATAGCAACTCGTTTGATTCTGGATTTTGCTTCATTTCAAACCACTTGGATATATGAATATTAAGAACTCAAAAATAAAGAGAGTAGAAAATAAAAACTAAGAAAATATATAGATTAGATTGTAACCAGGCTCTGATACCATATTGAAAAATAAAATACGGAAATTAAAAAGAGAGAATAGAAGAGAAAAATAAAATAAAGAACACTATTATTACTACATCTCTTCTTCTTGTTATTTTACAATGAGAATAACTCATCTATTTATAAGAAACAACTATAAAATAATTAAAGAAAGAAATTTACAAAGAAATAATATATGATGGAAACAAATAAATTAAGAGATAATTGACACAATTATCATTATTTGTTAATTGATTTTGTGTCTTTAATTTCTCTCAATCATCCTCGTAATCATTTCCAATCAATTTCAATCTTCTTAAATATATATTTGTTTCCTCGTTTCAACATTTACGTTTTTTATTTATTTATGTTACAACAAAAGTATATATAGTGTTACCAACCAAGTCTACGATCGAGAAACGTTGAACTAGACACCTATCTCACTTTATGGTTTACTACATTAATACATGACATATATCAATCACTATTAAGAATATCTATGCATGTATAGATAATTATAATATATGTGTATATATATATATATATCATATTGGAATTGGTTTTAAAAAATCTATCAATTACACACATGACGCATGCATACGTAATATCACGAACGATGAAGAAGAATGTTTGTGTGGCATTACGTTTTTGGCGGCGGCGCTGAAGGCTTCTCTATGGCTGATATCCGGATTTCCTGCCTTTATACGTTGAATCTCTTCCCTATCCACATATATTATATTATTATTACTCACTCATATAAATATTTCCCCTTTTTTTGGAGTGATTTATAATTAATTATATGATTAGGGCGACTTTTATGCAATAATTACATACTGCTTATTACTTACTTCATGAAGCGGTTGTAAGCAGATGGCACTCTCGGCCTCTTCTCCGGAACTGTTCATATACAAAACCCATATATAGCACAAACAAACAAATTAAAATGATAACAAATCTAAACCCACTTTAATTATTAAAAAAAACACACACACAATATAATAAGGAGTGTAGTCTCTCACGTCTGTTGACGGGTGGGGGCTTAGGGATCTCCTGAAAATCGAGCCTTCCCATCCGATTCGGCACGACCAGTGACTCGTTCGGGTCGTGAGCCATAACCACACTCGAGTTCGGTGTTCCGTTTCGCATCTCCTCCTTGTTTCGATTCATGATATATACATCAATCCATCAAAGAATAAATGTAGAAGAAAGAACGGGCTAATTGTATGCATTCGGACTACATCCTATGCAAGAGTTGAAGAAAGCATAAAACTAGGCGACGATTAAACTAAGATTTCGTTCATTTCCTCAAAGAAAGACTTTTTTTTTCGAGTAAAGAAACCATAACACTTGATTTTCGTCTTATGAGCAAAGGATATATGTGAGCTTTATACCAAACCCGTGCCTCACTTTGCAAGTGTGACGTCAAAAAATATGGTACGCTCTTAACAGGTATATATATATATAATATATATATATATATATATATATATAGAGAGAGAGAGAGAGAGAGCCTAGACCTTATACTATATGATTTCTGTAATCCAGATGATTCAGCATTGACTTAATTATTTCAAAGACGTTTAACCCGACGGTTTTAATTAATTGCTTGAGAAAATTTTGGCGAGGATATAGTTCCAACGGAAACCCTAATTATATAGTATGAGCCAACACAAATTGGATCGGCGTAGACCTCACTTTTTTTTTGGGTGAAATGTTAGAATAGAGTGGGCACCATACTCAAATTAATTTATTGGAAAAAAGTTGAAGACGGAAGAAATAAACGTAACCCTAATTTTATTATATTCATTGTGTATATATATATATATATATATATATATGCGT